CTCTCAGGTCAGTATCAGGGGCCTGTGAGGCAGAACTCAGGGCTATATTTACCCTGAGTTCTGACTGACAGGTAGAGCAAGGGTCAAACATGTGAGCCATGATTATTTACTCTCAGTGGGAACAGAGTTCAGCTTTTATTTTGAAAATCTCTCCAGTCCAGATGACTTGAGGGAGCAGAATGTGATTATTGTTTCCAGAGAGGACTTAGAATGAGTAGGAATACTAACCGATCTGTGTTCAGACGTTAGACAGTACAGGTTATCAACTCACTATGTTCATGTGCACTTCAGGGTCCAGCCCAGGCCGTGGGTCATCTGCGCGCCGCTGCACGTCATGAAGTCTGTGAGGAGACGGTCCGCTGTGCACGAGACCAGAGAGCGCCAACATACACACACACACACCCAGCATCATCTGACTGACACACACACACACACACACACACACACACACACACACACACACACACACACACACACACACACACACACACACACACACACACACGTACGCTCTGTAATATATCACTCTGACAGGGATTTTGTATATTTTATAATAATAATAATAAATGATAGTTATTTGGCGCTTTTCTATAAACTCAAAGACGCTTTGACAGAATAACAGAAACGACCCATATAGACCGTTAACATGCACTAAAACCTACAGAATACAGGAGTAGGGACCCTTTAACTCTCCTCTGCTCCTCAGATATCAGAGGAGTTTCTGTGTCAGAGGTTTCAGAGCGATCGGACTCTGCTTTCAGGAACTCCTCGTTTCACAACGCCTCGTGACCTTTGACCTCATCAAACCCCTCAGGGTCATCAAACCCCTCTGACTCATCAAACCCCTCAAGGTCATCAAACCCCTCAAGGTCATCAAACCCCTCTGACTCATCAAACCCCTCAATGTCATCAAACCCCTCAAGGTCATCAAACCCCTCTGACTCATCAAACCCCTCAATGTCATCAAACCCCTCAATGTCATCAAACCCCTCAAGGTCATCAAACCCCTCTGACTCATCAAACCCCTCAAGGTCATCAAACCCCTCAAGGTCATCAAACCCCTCAAGGTCATCAAACCCCTCAGACTCATCAAACCCCTCAAGGTCATCAAACCCCTCAGGGTCATCAAACCCCTCAGGGTCATCAAACCCCTCAAGGTCATCAAACCCCTCAGACTCATCAAACCCCTCAGACTCATCAAACCCCTCTGACTCATCAAACCCCTCAGGGTCATCAAACCCCTCAAGGTCATCAAACCCCTCAGACTCATCAAACCCCTCAGGGTCATCAAACCCCTCAGACTCATCAAACCCCTCAGACTCATCAAACCCCTCTGACTCATCAAACACCCTCTGACTCCTCAAACCCCTCAAGGTCATCAAACCCCTCAGACTCATCAAACCCCTCTGACTCATCATCAAACCCCTCTGACTCATCAAACCCCTCTGACTCATCAAACCCCTCAAGGTCATCAAACCCCTCAGACTCATCAAACCCCTCAGACTCATCAAACCCCTCTGACTCATCAAACCCCTCAGACTCATCAAACCCCTCTGACTCATCAAACCCCTCAAGGTCATCAAACCCCTCTGACTCATCAAACACCTCAGACTCATCAAACCCCTCTGACTCATCAAACACCTCAGACTCATCAAACCCCTCTGGGTCATCAAACACCTCAGACTCATCAAACCCCTCTGGGTCATCAAACACCTCAGACTCATCAAACCCCTCAGACTCATCAAACCCCTCAGACTCATCAAACCCCTCAGGGTCATCAAACCCCTCAGACTCATCAAACCCCTCAGACTCATCAGACTCATCAAACCCCTCTGACTCATCAAACCCCTCAGGGTCATCAAACCCCTCTGACTCATCAAACACCTCTGACTCATCAAACCCCTCTGACTCATCAAACCCCTCAGACTCATCAACCCCTCTGACTCATCAAACCCCTCAGACTCATCAAACCCCTCAGACTCATCAAACCCCTCTGACTCATCAAACCCCTCAGGGTCATCAAACACCTCTGACTCATCAAACCCTGCAGACTCATCAAACCCCTCTGACTCATCAAACCCCTCAGACTCATCAAACCCCTCTGACTCATCAAACCCCTCAGACTCATCAAACCCCTCTGACTCATCAAACCCCTCAGACTCATCAAACCCCTCAGGGTCATCAAACCCCTCAGACTCATCAAACCCCTCAGGGTCATCAAACACCTCAGACTCATCAAACACCTCTGACTCATCAAACCCCTCTGACTCATCAAACACCTCAGACTCATCAAACCCCTCTGGGTCATCAAACCCCTCAGACTCATCAAACCCCTCTGACTCATCAAACACCTCAGACTCATCAAACCCCTCAGGGTCATCAAACCCCTCAGGGTCATCAAACCCCTCAGACTCATCAGACTCATCAAACCCCTCTGACTCATCAAACCCCTCAGACTCATCAAACCCCTCTGACTCATCAAACCCCTCAGACTCATCAAACCCCTCAGACTCATCAAACCCCTCTGACTCATCAAACCCCTCTGACTCATCAAACCCCTCAGGGTCATCAAACACCTCTGACTCATCAAACCCTGCAGACTCATCAAACCCCTCTGACTCATCAAACCCCTCAGACTCATCAAACCCCTCTGACTCATCAAACCCCTCTGACTCATCAAACCCCTCAGACTCATCAAACCCCTCTGACTCATCAAACCCCTCAGGGTCATCAAACCCCTCTGACTCATCAAACACCTCAGGGTCATCAAACCCCTCAGACTCATCAAACCCCTCAGACTCATCAAACCCCTCAGGGTAATCAAACCCCTCTGACTCATCAAACCCCTCAGGGGCATCAAACACCTCTGACTCATCAAACCCCTCAGACTCATCAAACCCCTCAGGGTCATCGAACACGTCAGGTCATCGAACACGTCAGGTCATCAAACCCCTCAGGGTCATCGAACACGTCAGGTCATCAAACCCCTCAGGGTCATCGAACACGTCAGGGTCATCAAACCCCTCAGGGTCATCGAACACGGGTCATCAAACACGTCAGGTCATCGAACACGTCAGGTCATCGAACATGTCAGGTCATCAAACACGGGTCATCAAACACGTCAGGTCATCGAACCCCTCAGGGTCATCGAACACGTCAGGTCATCGAACACGTCAGGTCATCAAACCCCTCAGGGTCATCGAACACGTCAGGTCATCGAACATGTCAGGTCATCAAACACGGGTCATCAAACACGTCAGGTCATCAAACCCCTCAGGGTCATCGAACACGTCAGGTCATCAAACACGTCAGGTCATCGAACACGGGTCATCGAACACGTCAGGTCATCAAACACGGGTCATCGAACACGTCAGGTCATCAAACACGGGTCATCGAACACGTCAGGTCATCAAACACGGGTCATCGAACACGTCAGGTCATCAAACCCCTCAGGGTCATCGAACACGTCAGGTCATCGAACACGTCAGGTCATCGAACACGGGTCATCAAACACGTCAGGTCATCAAACACGGGTCATCGAACACGTCAGGTCATCAAACACGTCAGATCATCAAACCCCTCAGGGTCATCGAACACGTCAGGTCATCGAACACGTCAGGTCATCAAACACGGGTCATCAAACACGTCAGGTCATCGAACACGTCAGGTCATCGAACACGTCAGGTCATCAAACACGGGTCATCAAACACGTCAGGGTCATGAAGGCACCGCCTGCAGCAGATCTACTCGTCAGGACACTGAGAGCACTCTGAGCTCGTGGTGTGTTCAGGGACAGAGGAACGTCAGGCCGGGTGTGAAGGAGGTCTGAAAGCAGTTTATTGATTCTGAGCATCATCTGACTGAGAGACGCCTCGGGTTTACTTCAGTAAAAACACAAATACTACTCTCTTAAAATACTCCTTCACTAGTCAAATACTGGTTTGAGAAGTACGGAAAGGAGGAGCATTCATGTTAAAGTACCAACAGTACGAGTAGAGATAACATGTTACAGGTACATGTACTTCAAGTATCAGAAGTAAATGTACTCGTTGGATATTCTAACAGTATTATGGTTATTACTGTATCAGTTTATACGGGTCGGGTGTGAGACCATTTTTCGGATACTTCAAAGTATAAAGTAGCATCAAATACAAATACTCAACTAAAGTACAAGTACCTCAATGGAGGTGATGCATTCAAATGCAACAAAGCCGTTGTTATTGTGGTGATGCATTCAAAGACTTGGTTGTGGTTCCACGTGTTTCTATGTCTTGTAATCTAAATGCTCCTATTTCTGTGTTCTGTGTTCAGTCTGTGTTCAGCCTGTGTTCAGTCTGTGTTCAGCCTGTGTTCAGCCTGTGTTCAGCCTGTGTTCAGCCTGTGTTCAGCCTGTGTTCAGCCTGTGTTCTGTGTTCAGTCTGTGTTCAGCCTGTGTTCAGCCTGTGTTCAGCCTGTGTTCAGCCTGTGTTCAGCCTGTGTTCAGTCTGTGTTCAGCCTGTGTTCAGTCTGTGTTCAGCCTGTGTTCAGCCTGTGTTCAGTCTGTGTTCTGTGTTCAGCCTGTGTTCAGTCTGTGTTCAGCCTGTGTTCAGCCTGTGTTCAGCCTGTGTTCAGCCTGTGTTCAGCCTGTGTTCAGTCTGTGTTCAGCCTGTGTTCAGCCTGTGTTCAGTCTGTGTTCTGTGTTCAGCCTGTGTTCAGTCTGTGTTCAGCCTGTGTTCAGTCTGTGTTCAGCCTGTGTTCAGCCTGTGTCAGCCTGTTTCAGCCTGTGTTCAGCCTGTGTTCAGCCTGTGTTCAGCCTGTGTTCAGCCTGTGTTCTGTGTTCAGCCTGTGTTCAGCCTGTGTTCAGCCTGTGTTCAGCCTGTGTTCTGTGTTCAGCCTGTGTTCAGCCTGTGTTCAGCCTGTGTTCAGTCTGTGTTCTGTGTTCAGTCTGTGTTCAGCCTGTGTTCTGTGTTCAGCCTGTGTTCAGCCTTGTCAGCCTGTGTTCAGCCTGTGTTCAGCCTGTGTTCTGTGTTCAGTCTGTGTTCAGCCTGTGTTCAGCCTGTGTTCAGCCTGTGTTCAGCCTGTGTTCAGTCTGTGTTCAGCCTGTGTTCAGCCTGTGTTCTGTGTTCAGTCTGTGTTCAGCCTGTGTTCAGCCTGTGTTCAGCCTGTGTTCAGTCTGTGTTCTGTGTTCAGCCTGTGTTCAGCCTGTGTTCAGCCTGTGTTCAGCCTGTGTTCAGCCTGTGTTCAGCCTGTGTTCAGTCTGTGTTCAGCCTGTGTTCTGTGTTCAGCCTGTGTTCAGCCTGTGTTCAGCCTGTGTTCTGTGTTCAGTCTGTGTTCAGCCTGTGTTCAGCCTGTGTTCAGCCTGTGTTCAGCCTGTGTTCAGTCTGTGTTCAGTCTGTGTTCAGCCTGTGTTCAGCCTGTGTTCAGCCTGTGCTCAGCCTGTGTTCAGCCTGTGTTCTGTGTTCAGTCTGTGTTCAGCCTGTGTTCTGTGTTCAGTCTGTGTTCAGCCTGTGTTCAGTCTGTGTTCTGTGTTCAGTCTGTGTTCAGCCTGTGTTCAGTCTGTGTTCTGTGTTCAGTCTGTGTTCTGTGTTCAGCCTGTGTTCAGCCTGTGTTCAGTCTGTGTTCAGTCTGTGTTCTGTGTTCAGTCGTGTTTCAGCCTGTGTTTCAGCCTGTGTTCAGGCCTGTGTTCTGTGTTCAGTCTGTGTTCAGCCTGTGTTCAGCCTGTGTTCAGCCTGTGTTCAGCCTGTGTTCAGCCTGTGTTCAGTCTGTGTTCTGTGTTCAGTCTGTGTTCAGCCTGTGTTCAGCCTGTGTTCAGCCTGTGTTCAGTCTGTGTTCAGTCTGTGTTCAGCCTGTGTTCAGCCTGTGTTCAGCCTGTGTTCAGCCTGTGTTCTGTGTTCAGTCTGTGTTCAGCCTGTGTTCAGCCTGTGTTCAGCCTGTGTTCAGCCTGTGTTCAGTCTGTGTTCAGCCTGTGTTCAGCCTGTGTTCAGCCTGTGTTCAGTCTGTGTCTGTGTTCAGTCTGTGTTCAGCCTGTGTTCAGCCTGTGTTCAGCTGTGTTCAGCCTGTGTTTCAGGCCTGTGTTCACCTGTTGTTCAGCCTGTGTTCTGTGGTTCCAGCCTGTGTTCAGCCTGTGTTCAGCCTGTGTTTCAGCCTGTGTTCAGCCTGTGTTCTGTGTTCAGCCTGTGTTCAGCCTGTGTTCAGCCTGTGTTCAGCCTGTGTTCAGCCTGTGTTCTGTGTTCAGTCTGTGTTCAGTCTGTGTTCAGTCTGTGTTCAGTCTGTGTTCAGCCTGTGTTCAGCCTGTGTTCAGCCTGTGTTCAGCCTGTGTTCTGTGTTCAGTCTGTGTTCAGCCTGTGTTCAGTCTGTGTTCAGCCTGTGTTCAGCCTGTGTTCAGCCTGTGTTCAGCCTGTGTTCAGTCTGTGTTCAGCCTGTGTTCTGTGTTCAGCCTGTGTTCAGCCTGTGTTCAGCCTGTGTTCAGCCTGTGTTCAGCCCTGGTGTTCAGCCTTTCACCTATGTTCAGTCTGTGTTCAGTCTGTGTTCAGTCTGTGTTCAGCCTGTGTTCAGCCTGTGTTCAGTCTGTGTTCAGCCTGTTTTCATCTTTTAGGGTCACAGTTTCTGCCTGTTTCCCTCAGAGCTTCAGATACCCCTGACCTTTGACCCCCTGTGGACAGCCTGGTTTCTGTCTGCAGGCCTTCCGGACCTTTAAACCCAGTTATCAGATGTTAAAGCCTGTGCTGCAAATCTTCCTCTGTTTGCACACTGCTCTAATCCATTCTCTAACTCAGATTGACCTGGTGTTTAAAACGCTTTTTAAGTTCAATTTCATCCGTTTTCTGTCTGTTTTAAACCCTTCTTTAACACAGAACACGTGGAAGCTTTCTGACTGTTATTAACGTGATGTTACGACCTGTTTTTAAACCTGTTTTCTGACTGTTATTAACGTGATGTTACGACCTGTTATTAACCTGTTTTCCTCCCTGAACATCAGTACTGACGTCATTATGACCACGTGACCAGCTGCACTCCGCTCAGAGTTAATAAAGGGTTCAAACCGGTTCAAACACATTCATGTTAATATGAAAGGTTAAAGCCTCACCTGTCGGCAGCTCTCTGATGTTCTGAAGCTCCTCGATCAGCTGATTCTGGTTCTAACGGCGGAAGAGACGGGCTGTGACGTCAGAGGGAGTACCTCTCTGTGATTGGTCAAATGAAAGATCCTCGGTGTTTGTTTTCAGACTAAAGTTTCTGCTAAAGTTTAAAAACAGATCAAATCAAACAGAGACCGGAAACAGAAACCTGAAGGGAATGTATCTGTAAATAACATAGGTAAATAATAAATAAACTATAATAAAGAAGTTTAAAGTTTCTGCCTTTCAGAATAAAAACCGATCCTCACAGAGACGGGAATTAGATGTCTAATCAGAAACCAGGTTATTTGTTTATTAGTGAAACAGACCGACAAGAAAAGACTGAATGTTTTCTAATAATGAGTTTCATTATAATCCGTGATTTTCTTCCTGATTTATGTGAAAGACTTTTATTGTGAAAGTCTCGCCGGTTGTCCCCCTGTGTGTTCCGGTGTCTAGCAGTTCTGTAACACAGGAGGCGGGTTTAACTTAATGTCAGCCGGTTTAACTCGGGTTACTTTATAAAAACGATCCGGTTCGACCCGGTTTATCCTGTAGAGCTAGTCCCGGTTCCGAGCTGACGTCATGGCCCGGGTTCTGATCGTGGGAGCGGGTCTCACAGGGAGCCTCTGCGCATCTCTTCTGCGCAGGGAGCTGCAGGACAAAGTGAGGATCGAAGTGTGGGAGAAGTCCAGAGGCTCAGGTGAGTCAGAACCAGAACCACAGGGGCTCCACAGGGGCTCAGGTGAGTCAGAACCAGAACCACAGGGGCTCAGGAGTAACGGCAGCAGTTTTGAAAGCAGAGGGGACCGTTCCATGGGACAGCGAGGAGTTGAAAAGGTTGACAAGGTAGGGGCAGAGGACGGGGAGGCAGGACTTCAGGAGAGGAGTGGGTAGAGGGTCAAGGGAGCAGGTTGTGGGATTTGAGGAACCGATCAGATGGAGTATTTCAAGTGGGGTAACCAGGTTGAACTGGGAGAGGCGGCGCTGGGGAGGAGGAGTCAGGAGGTCAAGGGAGATGGGGGGGAGAAGTGGTGGAGGTTGGGGGGGATGCTTGTATGTCAGATGGAGCTGGTTTCTAGTTTTACTAGCTTCTTAACCTGAATTGATAATAGACTATAATCAATTTAAGTTTGCATTCTTATACCATTTTGTACAATAATTATAATGAATAAGTTCAAACAAACTAAAGCTTACAGCTGATTAATAACGGTATCTAACTTGAGTTTTTATTATATCAAAAACCTGTTGAAATGCTTCTGTTATTTTTACTGTCCCCAAAAAGCGCGTCGGCAGCCTCCAGGAATGCTTCTTTCACAACTTCACCGTCTTTGAAAGACTTCATGTGTTTCTCAAGAACGTGACTGACACGATAAGATGCTCTGGTAGCAGCCTTGCTCTTGTTGTTGACCTGGTGGAAATGGACTGCTGTGCATTTAGCTGTCCTTTCAGGCCCCTCCCCTTTTGGAGCGTAGGGCAGAATCAGGAGGGAATTCTGTCTCGCAGCGTTTGTGCACTGTTTTTGAAATGCCGCTCCTAAATGACCCTTCTTCGATAAAGCCACGCTCTCATTGCAGATGAGACAGATGGACTTTGAATTGGAATAGATACAAAATAATCAAACCTCCCACTCGGAGTGACAATTATATTGGCTTTTTGCTTCTGCCATAATTGCGGTCTTGTGTGTGTGCGGACTGTCACTCCTGTTGACACGGACAATGTCAGCGAACTAGTGCACTGCCCACCAACCACGCCCCGACACATGGGGTCACGCCGGCCAATCACAAAGCTTTGATGTGTTCAAGTGCATTATTCTGGCACAGGAAGATTATGTTATAGGACATCAACGATAAAACAGAATGTTGTTGTTCTATTTTTAGACACATCTCGCGATCGACTGGGAATCTCCCCACGATCGACCGGTCGGGCGCCCCTGGGCTAGAGAGAAGCAGATCATGAGGCGCGTTCACACCACAGTACTTTTCCCACAAAGGTTCATGAGAACTCTTTAGTAGGGGTGTAACGGTTCACAAACATTTCGGTTCGGTACGTACCTCGGTTTTTTGGTCACGGTTCGGTTCGGTACGTTTTCGGTACAGCAGAATTTTTTTTCACAAAACATATATATATATATATTTTTTTTATTATTATTAAACTGTGAATAATGTATTCACTCAAATAAATACAAAATATAATAAAATAAACATTAAGGTGCAGCATTTCGATGAACTGAAATAATCTGTATTTGAACTTTACTGTAGGCTACTAGTACTCACAAAACATAAACTATTAGTTTTGGGTTTTTTATTTTTTATTAAACTGTGAATCTTCACTAAAAAAAATACAAAATAAAATAAACATTAAGGTGCAGCTTTTCGATGAACTGAAATAATCTGTATTTGAACTGTACTGTACTAGTTCCTAAGCAGCCAGCTTGACATTAGGACTTGCTTGTCATTGTATTTTCATGTTTTTTTAAAGAAAGATGAACCTGTCCACATTGCTTGCCGAAAGGGCAGATCTGCTGGCACCAACAATGTCTCCTGCTGTGGAGAAAACCCTCTCGCTAGGGACAGAGGTAGCAGAAACAGCCAGGTAGCGCTTTGCTAACATGGCAACATAAGGATATTTGGCGTTTGTAATAGCTTTGGCTCGGTCTGAACTCTCTGCGAGTGGTGGAGGCTTACATGCTAGTGGGAGTTGGGTTTGCACTTCAGTCTTTTTTCTTTTGGTACCGGTGATATTCACGTTCGGGTGATGCCTTTTCAAATGAGTGTGCAAGTTTGATGTATTGCCAACCGCGTAACCAATTTTAGTTGAACAATGCCGACAAACAGCTTTGGTTCGGTCCACCTGTCTTTGTCCGTCATCCTTGTACGTAACTGTGAAACCAAAATGTTCCC